CCAGCTGATATGCACAAATCAGAAACACGTGGGGTCACCTTGCTTGCCTTGGCCTGCTGCTGTATATTGTGCTCGAGGAAAGGCATCCCTTTACCCCACAATACAACTACACACCGCAAGTCAGACAACAAAGCGCCTACAGACCAGATAACAGACAGACTGATTGGTGTACAGCTTTTGTGAACTGCTGCATGATCTTTGTTGTTCTTTTAGTTGTTCTTATTATTTTGGCAAATTCTGCAGCAAGGAGCTAACTTGAAATGAGAGAAATTGCCATATAATGTGTTTAAGCATAATGCTTCTCACAAAGTCAGCAGGATTCAAAAGTTGATTGGGAAGACTGAAACACCCGTGAACATGTCCAGGGGTTCTTCTGTTTTAAATTCTAATTTGTATTATATAACCTTTTTTGTGAGTGGTGTTAGTTTATATTTGAGATAAAGGCTTAAAGGCAAAATACTTTAAATCTTCGATCTTTTGAGCTTCAAAGTTATAGTTATAAAAAATGACAGGTTCTGAATAACAGTAGGGCTTCTTCTTCTTTTTGAAATGTGCATATTAGCTTTTGTTGTTTTTTTAATAATGCACTGCTTTGGCGCAGTCATGAAGCTGCAGGCTTCCATTTTGCTCCAGCATGTATAATTTAATAGCTATGATTCACTGAGGATTCCTCCTGTGTGGGAGACAGATGAAGAGAATTTAAGCAGCACTGATTGATAAACCAAACAGATCGGTGAATGACTGTACGGTCTGCAAAGGACAGCCGTCACTGACATGAATGCATTTCTTTTTTTTTTATAATTTCTGTAATGTCATAAATTGTGTGTGTTTATTAAATTGTAATGTGTCAGACAAGAGATCCATTGATGGGTATGAGGGTACGCATTCTTTTTGTTTGTCTTGTAGTTTTGTTTTGTTTTTAAATCAGGAGTTCCCAATACACAAAAAAAAAGGCAAATTTGACCTCTTAGAAAGAAAGACAAAGAATAAATAAGGAGAAAATGTATATGATTACAGCGTTGAAAGTTATGGATCATAATACAAGCAGGTTAACCTCTCAAAAGTCCAGTGCCAGAGGTCCTGGTATCGTACGAAACTAGACAAAAACCTGAGGAATGCATTGGTAACAACAAGCTTGTCATGAAAGAGTCAAAACAATGTTTCAAAGTTTGGCTTAATGTTGTGTATGCGTCTGAACATCCCCAGTTCACCGCGCCTACGCCTTGAAAAAACGGTAAATTGTAATGATACCAATTGGATGTAGTCCAAGAGACTCTGCTTTTATTGCAAATGATAATGCACTGCTCTGGCGTGTTTATCAAGCTCAAAGCTGCTTTCATTCAACGAGGTCATGTTCCAGCATGCAAGATCTAATAGAAATGATTCACTGATTATTAATCCTGTGTTTGATAGACATGAAGAGCATTTAGATTGTTCTGATTGTGTGTTTCATTTATGTATAATGTATGAGGTAATAAGTTAACATCTTTTGTACGTTTCAAAATGTTGTGGTTTCATTAAACTAAAATGTATCAGTCAGACCAATGTCAGTGTTTTTATTTTAGAATTTAAGGAAACTGGATGAGCACAAGTTCGATTTTTTTTAAATGTGACCTACCATGCTATATTTGAACAATATATTGTAGGGCCATACTTATATGAAGTATATAAATATAGTTTTTTTTTCAAAATACCAAACAGATCCTGCATTTTAGCGATGCCTCATTTCGCTCTATATGCTCTTTCCAGCCCTGTTTTTGCAGGGGGCTGATTCTGTGAGCTGCAGCTGACCACGCCCCCCTGCAGGAGAGGGGATCGTGCTTTGAGATCAGCTGCTGGGCTGCAGCGGGGAGAAGAGGGGGACAAAAAGAGATCTCNTTTAAACACGTAACATTTATTAGATCTAGTTGGACGTCAACAAAGGTTCCAGAAGAGACTCACAGTGATGTGCAGTTTTAGACACTAGGGGCAAAAAAACAACCTTAATTTTTAAATAAATAAATAATTCCTTCACTTCTAAATAACAGGAACGTTTAGCAAATTTAAAGGTCTGGTTAAATGTAAAAGGTCACCCAGAACAAGCCTTTACAGTTAAGAAAAACCCCTGATTCATTATGCATAAAAATAAATCCAGCAGAGTCTTAAACTCACAGTGATTGTGTGGAACTGCTCACTAAAGGAGAACAACATCCGGTTACAATCACTCTGGATATACATTTGAACACTACAAAAATGGTTCGTTAGACATCAAAAAAGGTTCCAGAAGAGTCTCGGTGTGATGTCCAGTTTTAGCCACTAGGGGCAAAAAAGACAACCTTAAAGTGCTATATTTGAACAATATATTGTAGGGCCATACCTATAAAGTATATAAATATAGTTTTTTTTTCAAAATACCAAACAGATCCTGCATTTTAGCCATGCCTCATTTCGCTCTATATGCTCTTTCCAGCCCTGTTTTTGCAGGGGGCTGATTCTGTGAGCTGCAGCTGACCACGCCCCCTGCAGCTGACCACGCCCCCCTGCAGGAGAGGGGAGCGTGCTTTGAGATCAGCTGCTAGGCTGCAGCGGGGAGAAGAGGGGGGAGAAAAAGAGATCTCTGTCCTCCGTGTTTTATTCTTATATCTGATTATATAGAGTCATTATTCATTTGTTTTAAAGCTCAATAAATAACAAAGAAGACCTTTGACCGGCACTTTTCTAATTTCGTCCGGAAGATTTCAACTTTAACGGACATGTTGACCGGCGGGAAAAAATCGAACTGAAACTCTGCCGAGGCGGAGAGGTGGGTGTTTGTCATCTGCTGGTGGACTAACCGGAGAGAATTACAGTGCTTGCCTCGACGGGGAGGGATTGCATGGAATTACAGCAGCAAACGCTTGCCTCGGGGAGGGAGAAAAAGAGCCACAGCGGAGAATAAACAGAAGGGCAACCATGGCAACCATGCGCGGGAAGTCTTCTTCGCTGCTTTTGTGGCAGACTACAGCGCCACTCACAGGCCTGGCATATGTACTACAGCGTCTCCAGCACTTTCGAGCGGCAATGGCCGGCAGTGGCCCAACCTCTCATTCCCCTGATAGGTGGAGCGTTGCCCACTAAGCGGAGCACCACTTCTGTGACGTAGAAAATAATTCAAATCTGGATCAGTCTGTATCAGATCCGTTGTGGCCCCGTTTTTAGAGATTTGGGTATGGAGGAAAAGATAGAGGGTTGAGTTTTCTGACACTTGGTGAGTTCCCTGGAACACCGGGGACACATATTCATGTATAAAAGACGTACAAAAGTGCATTTTGCATGATAGGTCACCTTTAAACCCAGCTGAGTCTCGTTCAAAACACAAACCCACACACAGCTTAAGGATTTATCAGAAAGACATTCAGCATCCCTTTTGACATGCACAAGTGCAGGCCTATCAAAAGGCCTTTATGTTTGAGTGGAAGAGATGAATACTGTGTTAATGTGCTGAAACTAGGATAGCACTCAGCAGGCCAGCACAAGACCCAACAGTTCAGAAGATAATGAGTCATCGCTAAAAACTGTTGCAAACTCAGCTTAAAATAAATAATAATCAAAGGTTCCTTTCAAGAGTCATGGAGTCCAGAGCCAATTGTTAATCACAAACACGCACTGCTGTTTGATTGGAAGAAAAGGCTCTAAATGCTGACATATAATCATCTATTCTTATCATTTTCCCTACATGTGTTCAATAACCAGGTCAGTGTGAGGAACAATGGTAGTGTGCAGAAAACATATTTTTCCTGCCAGAAAAAAAGTCATCGGGCATTTGTAAGCATCAAATTTAAACTTCACATTTAAGATGTTTACTTTTCAGTTTACTCTAGGAGTATTCTTGGAAATGTACTGAACTGAAACACATCTGGTTTTCAGTAATGCTTACAGTTCAAATGATAAACACAGGTATCTCAGTTAATATATGTACAAGTTACAAACACGAGAGTTAGCAATGCAACTAACCGTTATTTTAAAATCATGGGAAATCTAAAAACACAATAAATAACTTGATTATCCTTTGTTAACATTTTCAAACTTTTTTTATCCGACCAACAGTTCAGAACTTAAAAGAAACTTTTAAAAATGGTATACAATACAAACATAATCGAGAAAAGCTGAAGTATTAATGTACATAGTGCTTGTTTTTTTTCTGTGGATAAATATGTTGTTATCGTTTCTTTGTATGTACGGGCCATCGTGTGCCGTGTAAAACTAAATACGCTTAAGCTGATAGCATTGAATTTAATTTGGCCAAGATGTGTATATCCTTAAAACAAGGTGCTTAGTATTATTTTTTAGACCAGTTACAGAGGATTTCTTAACTTACTTCTTGAGATCAAACCGGTTTCAGTGTCAGTAATTAGAGGAAGTGGGAGGATGTTGGCACGGCAATGGATTATTTTGACATTCTGGTCTTGAAAGTGCTGTGTTGTGCCAGTGAAAAGAAATATCCCTTTCGTAATCAAGGCAAGAATCTAGGCTCGGCCACAAGGAGCTTATTAAACAAAGTAAGTAAATATTAGGGGCGATATGAAAATGGATTTAACTGCGTTTAAATATTTGCTCTGTTTAACAAATAGAATAGTCCCAAGATAACAGGAAATCAGATGAAGTAAGTTATAATTGAATGTAAATGATTCAGCCATCTAAAAGAATGGTTGTTTACAGTAATTCAAAGTCAAGTGCATTTTCTTTTCTCTGTAGGATAACTACAACAAAGTACTGTAAACAACCATTCTTTTAGATGGCTGAATCATTTACATTCAATTANAACTAGTTGTTCACACTAATCCTAATATTATCACTTAATATTAGCAAATTCTATTTTATTTTTTAAAACATATTGATGTAAATACATACACATATCGATTTGTTGTATAAATATTGCAAATCAAAACCTTTATTCACTAATAATTACCAAAAATCGTAGTTCTATCTCCTGTTATCAATGCATTCACATTGCCTGCCATGAACTTCCGGGGAACAATCCTCGTCTGCATGAACCACGTGACGATAACCGTTTTTGGACTTCCGCTGTCGTAACTCTTCTATCTATATGGCGCTGGGTTCAGCCATTCTCCGCAAAGGTTTTTGAAATTGGTCCGTGCGCAAAGCATTGTGGGGATTTGAAGGACGCGAAGTCTACCCATGTGCAGCCTCGAAATTACCCCCAAACCAAGGACGTGGCCTCGGTGGAATTCCAAGTATGCTGGAGATTGGAACAGTCCTTCGGCGGCACTCGATGACGTAGTATCCTTGAAATATTTCCTCGCGATTGAGAAACGGCCCATATGTGTTCGGGGTCCGTCTCTTACCAGTGACGTCACGACGTACGACGTCACGACGTAATGACGTCAATGACGTCACGCATTGTGATTGGCTGTACGGTAATTTACCCACGCTATCTGGAGTACAGAGGGGTTTTTTGATCATAGGGGTGGGCGATACCACAAAATCTGGATTCGATCCGATACCAAGTATTTCAGGGCCAATATGGCCGATACCGATATCGATCCCGATACTTTTTTAAATTAAAAGCGTCTTATGTACTTTCATATAGGGGAGAGCTGTATGACATGATTTTTGAGCTGAAATCATCATAAATAGACAATCTGAATTCATTTTCATGAATAAAGACAGGACAGTTTTTATTGACAAATAAACGTTTTACTTTTGCAAATTTAAAGTGCAAACATGAAATATAACAATACAAAGTGGCCAGAGTAGCAAACTGTCTTCTTGCACACATCACAGTGTTTTAATTCCCAGTAGTGAAATTGCTCCACACAACGCTCCTCTTTCTCTCAGCCATCATGCGCGTGTGTGTGTTGCACTCGCGAGTCGCTGGCTGCTGCTGTCCTGCTGCCCATAGACTGTATATATAAAGGTCCTGCCCTGCTGGCTGCTGTCAGTCAGCTTGATAATCGGCGTTCAGGCAGGGAGCGCGCTGAGCGTGCGGCGAGCCTCGAGGAGAGGAGGACAGCAGTGGAGAGAGAAGAAAAGAGCATATACTTGTGTTCGTCTGCACATCGTTTTTTGAAGAAATTGACGAGTAGAGGAGACGGGGAAAAAAAGTATAACATTATCGATCCTACTGGCTCTAGTATCGATATTTTGAAACGTAACGTAATATCGGAAGTATCGATATTTTGGGATCGATCCGCCCACCCCTAGTATTTTCTGTGTTAGAGTTTTACTCGCTACAGGGTGTACTTTGAGGGTTTTGACTCTGCAGACCATTTACATGCATAAAACCCTTCATAACACACAAGCGGACGGGTAATAACCGGAAAAGAATGACATGGGACCTTTTAAGGCAGCGTGTTTACGGGCTAATATATTCTCATGTCGTCTAATCCCAAATGTTCTGTGTTTTCCAGCGCTGAAGCGGTCGTTTGAGGTGGAGGAGACAGAGTCCTCCACAAACCCTTCGACCCTGACTCGTCGGAACACCAATCCTCTCCGCTCGTCCGCCTCCTCCACATCTAGCCAGCGGAGCTACGACCAGAGCTTCCGTAGCACTGAATACTCCTCTCCCCGATCCTCCCCCTCTGAGACCACCAATCCACGTTCTCCAAAGACCGGCATGAGGCGCATGGAGCTATCAGGGGGTCGTAACCCTGACACAGCCTCATCCCGCCGTACAGAAATGTCCATTGAGGTCTCCTCTAAGCAGATTGACAACTCGCCCAGTGCCGGCATCGCCCGCTTTGGCCTCAAGCGGCCTGAGGTCAGTCTCAGCAATCGGAGTACACTCCTGGACAGCTCCTCCAACTCCACCTCCACAAACAGGCGGGCTGAGATCAGCATGACACGGCAGCACGAGCCCCCCGCCCCTCCGAAGAGGACAGACTCCCAGATGAGCTCAACCCCAATCTCGAGGATCCCCGAGCCCCCTCAGAGAACAGTGGAGCTCCAGTCCCCAATCACCAGCCCAGTGGAGGCAGCCTCCAGGAAGCCAGCGATGCCCATCTTCAGACAGTCAGACGGTTTGGTGCCCAGCAGTGCCGTGGAGAACAACAACAACAACCACCCGCCTCCTGCTCCTAGTGCCCCCCTGCCCTCACTGGCAGAGCCCCGGGTGGAGAAGGTGGAGAGGGTGGAGAGGGTGGAGAGGGTGCAGAGGGTGCAGTCTCCAGTCCCAGAGCCTCCAACGGCCCGACCAACAGAAAGTGAGTAGCTGCTCGGTTCAGCATATTTTCTAAACAAACTGTCGTGTATAAAACTGTTTAAAATGGCGTTGAAGGGAGCTGCTCTGCTCTAGACGGCATTCCAGACAGTTTAACCAAACATACATCTACTGTCCTTACTTTTGATTGTCACTCACACCGTCTCGTTGAGTCACTTAAGGATGCAGGTATATGTTTGCAAGCACACACTTTTCCCTTTCTAAAACCATCATTTAGCTACATCAACACTCCACACTGTAATTAAGTATGACAGGCATTTCAACCTTTTTACCCAACTTTATATCTAATCAAGATGCCAACCATAAAAAGCACAAGCATGTGTCCTTGTGAGCATTTCAGTCTAGACTATGTGTGAATGTAGGTCAGAGCGGGTGATGATGAGAAACCCAGGGCAGCTCCCAGTACAGCACTTAAAAGCTTCTACAGTCAGGCAGCTGAATAACCCTGCTTACTTGAACTTGAATTAACCACTATATAAAATCCCGGTCAATTCAGATAACCTCATGTAGATGCTTGCAGTTCAAAGCATGTGTGTCTGGTTTTATTATAAACTATTTGTTGGGCAGAGTGGGTCAATCCTGCATGTTTGTCTAGAGTCAAGGCATTACCTTAGATGACCTCTGACTTAGTATTGATTTTCCTATTCCAGAGAAAGCTATTCTTAGTCATTATTGTCCCCCCATACCCCTCCTTTTGTAATAACACCACTATTCTTCGCTCTGGAGCAACGTCTTGGTGATCAAATTTATAGCTGAATTTCCATGAATTATGTTGGATATTCCTCCTCCTCAGTGGATGAAACTTGATATATATATTAAAGTTATTCCATCTCTGTTCTTTTAGTGCCACCCTCTGGACAAACACAGCATTTTTATCTGAATTATTGGCAAGGTCCTTTTACCAAAATTGTCAGTATGTTTATTTCATCTGCTTCTTTGTTACTGTGGGGTGTAATGAATTGCAGCCTCTAGGGCTCTTAGCAGGCCTCTAAGCTAGTCTTGTTTTCCTTTTTGGTTTAGTAGAACTCAATGTGCAAAACTGGGAATTACGGAGCATAGGTTATGTGTCAGTGTCATCAGCATGCTTAATCTTTTCAGTGTGTTCAATTACAAGTAGGCTTTAAAGTGTTCTGAGTTTGGATTTGGTTCTGTTATGGTGGAAAAATGTGTGAGTTTACTTGTGCTGATGTCTATGCAGTGGTTTTATGCCGTTTCATTCCCCAACTTTTCCTATTAGAAGGTTTCGTCTTTGTACGGTGCATTGCTGTTTGTGTGTGTGTAGTGCTGTTATCTGAAGACAGCTGTGCTCATGGGTTGCTCCCACTTGTGTAGTATCCAGGCGTAGGCGGCTGGGAGGTGATACATTCCAAATCTGGAGGTCATAAAACTTTCAACATAAAAATAGAAAGCCTCCAATTTTCGACTCTGTGTTGCTCTCTATCCACTGTGCTTCCTTCGCAGACAGCTAGGGATTTACTTTCATTTCTGCCTTTTACTGAGGATATTTCTCTCCTATATTTTTCTTATTGGTGAACCATTCAGCACATATGCATACTAAATATCTGATGGGTGGCCTTGTGTCAGTAGAGAGGAAAATAAGCGAGGACAACTGATAAGATGAAGTCTCAACTTCTGCCATATCTGTCTCAGATTCCCACCTTCCAACTCAGCTGTGCACATGCAGGGAGGGGGAGGGCTGCTAGAAAGAAGCTTTGGAAGAAACGCAGATAAGAGGGAGGGAAAGACTGAGAGGCGGTTCAGCGGGCAGAAAGAAAGAGGAAGAACATTGGAGAGAAAGATATACAGCGTGCATTAAAGAGAGTTTCAGTTTTGAGTCTGCAGGGAGAAAAACAAAATGAGAGAAGCCCTCTTTAACCTCCAGCCTTTGGGAGTAAAACCTAACCGACAGACCACACAGCTCTGACGACTTGCCCAAAACTACAATTGACTTTCCATTTCCTCAACAAGTTCACACGACACAGATTCAGGCCAAACACTTTTTTTTAATAGCTTTGTGTATTTAAAAAAAAGGAAAACTGAATGTTTTCAGGTGAATCATGTGTTGTTTACTTTCCCTGCTTGTATCAGCTCTGTATCCGGTGGGATCCTAGCAGTGTGCTTTTGTTCTGTCCCATTTGGCCCATTGCGCTGTGGCTTGAGGGCTCATTATCAAAAGTAATTGGGATCTACCTGCCTCCTGGTGCTCTGTGCTATTTGTGTGATCATGTGCAATACAATTATTCAGTGTATAAACTAGGGCTGCTCGATTATGGCAAAAATCATAATCTCGATTATTTGGGTCAATAATTGATATCACGATTATTAAATACGATTATCCATTTACTTTGAAAACATCCATTTATTGAAAATAAAAATTGAACAGTATGTTTTTAATAGTTGATTACTCTGAACTTGAAGTATAATTCAACTGAAAAACCAATAAAAAAAAAAAAAAGTTTTATTTAGATTACGTTGTTTTCGTAATCGTTGCAAGCCAAAATCGTAATTGTGATTAAAATACGATTAATTGAGCATCCCTAGTATAAACTGAAAGTACCTACGTACATTCTTCCCTACACAAGGTTAAAAAAAAAGTTGTTGTTTTTTTGTGGCAGCTGTTGTAAAGTACAAGGTGCTCTAATGATAGCTCTGTCTCACTGATTTTTTTTTTGTGGCTATAATGGCGAGCAGCTGTATTCATTCTTGGTGTGCTTCAACAGAATGTGATCCCCATGTGTACAGACTGACACAAATCATTCATTCTGCACATTTCTCAATTTAGCTTCCTGTCCCATCCCTTCCCTTTTTTTTACTTTGACTGCTGTGACACATAACATAGCATGTTGCTAAATCTATTGTTTACATCCTAAACATCAAGGACATAGAGCAAATAATGTATCTTTTAGGGATGCACCGAATATTCGGCCACCGAAAATTATCGGCCGAAAATGGTTAAAAAGGCCCTTTCAGCTGTCGGCCGAAAGGGCAAAAATATCACAGAATGTCAGAGAACAGGGTTACGTTGATCGTACTCCGCATATTTGTCCGGGTGTTTTGATTTCAAGTGGTGGAGTAATCCCGAAGTGGTGAAAGTTTTTGCAGTTACACCTCCTCGAGAAATGTCAGCTGAACAAGTATTACAAATCACAATCCGCGCCTCTTTCTCTGATATTTTGAAATATCTCCAAGCGCCAGACATGTTGGCTGTGAGCCAGCCGCGACCATGGTCCTGGCATGGTCGCGCGCCGTGCTTGTCGCCGCGTTTTGATTACGTCATCACAACAACACGTTAGGTTTCCAAACTTATAGGTGCATTTGTTGTTGTTGAAGGCCTGGCTGTTACAGTCTTTATTTACACTATTTTGTTGTAGGCCTACTGCCCTAGATGTTTATGCAGTTTTAAAGCACCTTGGCTTTGTTCTGAATGCACTTTGTTGTAGTTATCCTACAGAGAAAAGAAAATGCACTTGACTTGGAATTAATGTACTGTATGCATTCAAAAGTGCTGAATAAAGGTTTTATGGACCCATAATAGTGATTATTATTTAAGTTAAGTTTTGCCATAATCATGTCTTTTTCCATAATCAGGTAGCTGAACAACATTGGTAAAAAAAAAATATATATATATATATTTCTATTAATCATTTTCGGCCTTTCGGCATTCGGTTTTCGGCCAACTGTTTCCTATTTTCGGTATCGGTTTCGGCCAGGAATTTCCCATTCGGTGCACCCCTAGTATCTTTAACTTTTCCAACGTTCTTCAGTGTTTTTTGGAATCTAAAAACCTGTATAACTTTCTGAAAGTTTTGTTTCATATTTGATCTTGTCGCGGCTGCCTGTAGCCAACACTACACATACAGCTCAATGTAGACCTATCGACAGACATACTGTNGTGTGCAAGAAGACAGTTCGCTACTCTGGCCACTTTGTATTGTTATATTTCATGTTTGCACTTTAAATTTGCAAAAGTAAAACGTTTATTTGTCTATAAAAACGGTCCTGTCTTTATTCATGAAAATGAATTCAGATTTAGTCTAATTATGATGATTTCAGCTAAAAAAATCATGTCATGCAGCTCCCCCCTATATGAAAGTACATAAGACGCTTTTCGAATACTTGGTATCGGATCGAATCCAGATTTTGTGGTATCGCCCACCCCTAGAAAATACCTCCCCAAAACGCCTCGTTGGAGATACGTCACTGTCCATTGATTCTTCCGGGTACCGCATGATGTCATGCGTTACCCAGAACCAAATGGACCAATCCGTGGAGCCGTTACTTCGTCCGCGGAGCCGTTACATTAAGCCCCCACTGATTGGTCCAAATTGACCAATCCACGGACTTCCTCACACACACACTCAGTGCAGGCAGCTCTGCTGATCTCTCCTCCCTGGCTGCAGGCTGATAATAGACAGTTGGGATCGCGGCGAAATTCTCTCTGCAGACCCATTCTCACAGCGTTTATCAACCTTTTTCTTACTCAATATCAAGCCACACTTATTGTTTTTACTTCGGCTGTGACTTTGTGTGTGCTCAGGGTGAGTTTGGCTGTCGCTAAACAAGGAAACCACACCTCCACGGAGCTCAGCGCGATTCACAACGTCCCGACCAATCAGAGCACACTGTGCTCACAGGGAGGGTGGGGGCTGGAGCTATTGGAGCTACAACGAGCCGTTAAAAGCAGAGAGTGAAATTCAGTGAATACACGTAGTTTAGAGATGCTGTATGAGAAACCAAAGTGATTTTGGAAAATTGCACAATATAAATCTATTCTAGTAGACCTCAACAATGGAAGTATGATCAGTGGAAATGGCCATGACATGGGACCTTTAAGTTGCAGCACTAGCATCTGTATGATATTGTACTGTATTTATTGTTAAGGCATCTTGTGATTAGCATTCAAAACAATGAGGCCCTGAGGGCAGACACACTTCAAATGACCTTTATTGAAACAAAGCAGCTACCGATTTTCTATTCAGTGTT